CAAAAGACTGCAGTGACTATTTCTTTGAGATTTGTGCTTTATTTTCAGCCCACTTCACTAAGCAAAGGCTTTATCCACACTTATTTTTCAATGATATACTATATTTCTCTATACTATATTTCTAATATTACCTAGGTAGTAAATATTAAATTCCAGAAAATAAATCCACTTGATCAAGATAGATATACTGCCTAATAGCTTTATAAATCTAATAGCCATTGGTTTTTTTTGGTTTAGGGGTTTTTTTAATCATTTAAACATTTCTATACATTTCTTTTTTCTTGCCAGTGAAATTGGTTTTTTTTGGTTTTTTTTTTTGGTTTTTTTTTTTTTTCTCCGGTACCGGGAACCGAACTCACAACCTTGCGCTTGCCAGGCAGGTGCTTTTGCCACTGAGCTAAATCCCCAGCCCCTTGCCAGTGAAATTGGAACAGGGAGAAGTTTCTATGGTTCCTGAAGCAAGTTTATAAACCTTCCTAAAATTAGAAGTAATTTATAACTGCATGTTCTATACAATACAGCTGTGTATCCATCTGGCCCTGGTGCTTTATTACCTGATATGTCTCGTAGAGGACTTGTTCAACATTTCTTTTTATCCACTGAGCCTATATAGTTTCCCTTTGTGTCTGGTCCCAATAATCCCAAAACTCTATTTCATCCTTATAGCAAACACACAAAATAAATCCCATAATCCTACATACTATCTTCCAGGAATTATAAGGCCATAAATCAATGGGAAACCTCCAAAAGGATTTTTCTTAAATTCTGCTAGGAATTTCTTCATCCTGTCTGTGAGCAAAGCTTTCACTGATATTGAAAATTAGCTTTTGTCCTAAGTTGGAATACGCCTTTTAGAATCACAGATCTATCTGCAAAAGAGTTGCCAGTGTCCTCCAAAATGTCTTCTCAAAGAAGAGACAGGAGGGGAGCATTCTGAAGGAGTTATTCACAACCTCTCAAGGGGCAATATGAATAAATCAATTCAATAAAACCAGATCACCATTTAGTCTCAATGCCTCTGAGATGAAAAGTAGATAAATTGCCTAAGGGGCAGGGGGCGCTCCCGTAGCTGTAGGTACAATGTTACACAATCTAAAATCAGTCTTCCTCACAAAGTGGAATCATCTATTTAAAGTTTATGTTTAGTTTTCTTAAAATTCCCCAAGGAAAAGCAGTTTGAAGGGCCTAAATTATCGACAACCTTGTCTGCAACTCAAAGTAATGAACTACACTGCTATAATGCTTGCCTTTATTTATTGAAGGCTTACCTAGTTACCATACTAAGCACACTACAAGCAACATTTCTCTGACTAAATATCACAACTGGAAATATAATAGCCAAGTAGTATAAGACTACAAGCTTCGCCTCTGGATTTCCTTTTGACAAAAGCTATGTCCTATTCATCTTTGCATCCTCATGATAGTATTGGCACACAGCATTAAACGAAAGCCGTCTTAAGTTATAACTTGTACTAATAGAAAATAATAACTGGAAAGAAAGGTTTTCTTCCTTAGAAAGATTGGATGTACAAAATTCTCTAGCACTACAAATCCCTTCAACCCAGCTACCCCCACTGTTCCAGGGTGGGATGATCCAGAGATCATCAGTGACCCGGAGATCATCCAGATCTGATCCAGAGATCATCCGACGAGCACCAGCGCGGCAGACACCAGTGGGGTCTGCACATCAGTGACGGCATCAAATGCAAGTGGCCAAGGCTGGGCTAAGAACAGCGTCACGGTTTCCTATTAGAACCATAAATGCACAGTGTAAATGGTAAACCTCCCTAAAGAATAGCAGGCTGCAGCACTTCTCGAACTCTCTTCTGCATGGACTTGCTTTTGCATGCTACACCCTGGGGCGCAATGTTTTGCTCAGTGGCCCACGGGAAGCCCTGGCCTCGGTCGGCCACGCTGCCCACCCATGCAGCCAGCAGGACCCTTCAGGTTCTGACCTCCTTACCGGCCATGTGTGTTCAGTAACTAAGAATCTTCTTCTGTGGATGATCTAGGGTATTATGAGAAAAATCAACAGACGGGGTTCCAGAATCGTAACCAACTGCCATGACAGGGACAAGAAACACCTCCAGAGGTCTTGGGACTTAGAGACAAAGATGACAGTGTCACCGAGGCCAGGGAGAAAAGCAAACAGAAAGATACAAGATGAATAAAAAGAAAAAACTGAAAAGGTAACGCACAGAAGGACGGAAGGAATGTGAAACCACAAAACAAGAACACGCCAGCTTGTGCACTCACACAACAGTCTCAGAGCTAAGCTAAACAAAACCCCGAGGAGGTGGTCTCCACAGGGGCAGGTGACCTGAAGGGCAGCTTCTTCCGGCGGCACTCAGCCTCCAGCCTCGCATTCCTCAGCAAGGGAAGCCATCTAGAACACACAGCATGTCCTTGCCGTTGCTATGTGTCCTTCACATTTCTGGATACGCAGGGTTCTGTTATTTTGCATGTGTGTAATATACTATCTATTAGAATCACGCAATCTTGACGAAATCAAACACACGAATGTCGAATGGTGAACAGAAGACACTATCTGTTTGGTGGAGAGTCACTTTCCCATGTTCTGAAATTTCCATTGTAGGGGTCGTTCACTTCCTTGGTTCGATTGATCCCTAGGGTTTGTTTGTTTGTTTGTTTTCCTCTTCTGGGTTTTTTTAGCCAGAGTCTTCTTGCAGAGTTCAAAGTGGCCTGAAACTCATGGCCATTCTCCTGACTCAGCCTTCTGAGTGCGGGGATTACCAGTTATGTGCCACGATGCCTGGCCCCTAGGTATTTCTTTAAAGGTGTTGTGAATGAAATTGTTTTCCTGATTCCTTTCTCAGCTAGTCCAGTGCTGGTGTATAGAAAAACTATTGGTTTCTTCAGAGACTTGGAAGCAAGCGTGTTTGGGTGATTGTGCTTTTGTAAACCTTCGTCTCCTCGGGGCTGGGGATTTAGCTCAGTGGCACAGCACCTGCCTGGCAAGCGCAAAGTCATGAGTTCAATTCCTGGTACCAGAAAAAATACCAAAAAAAAACAAAACAAAAAGAACCTTAGTCTCCTTCTGGGAAGAGTGCTGCAGATAAACCACCCAATTCGCCGTTCACTGTGGCTTCACATCGGGAGAGGCAGTCTTGACTTCTTGGAGTCCATCAGGGCTTAGTAAAATAATTACGCTGATGCAAACCGGGACGGTGGCATGCTACCCGCAACAGTGACATCTGGTGGCTCTCGTGCCCTACTGCACCTCCTTAAACAGGAAATGGAACCTGGATTTTCAGCAGTAAAGTTCTGGGAAAGGATTTGGAAAATAGTAAGATTTAATAGCCTCTATTCAAATGCTTCTGTTGCTCACTATATTATAAACCTTGGCAAAAGATGCTCTTGTTTATCCCGAAGACCAGCTGGGAAACAGCTGATGATCTTGTTTGCAAGGGTACGGCATGTCCTGAGCGCTGTCCTCGTTAAATTCATTTTCCATGATCTCTGCGGTGTCCCTCTCCAACATATCCAGCACCTGGGTGGCAAGCCAGGTAACCCTGTGCTGCACCTTTGTTACCATGACTCTTAGAATGACATAGACAATAAGCATTACCTCCTGACAACTATGGAGTTGAGAAAGTCAACTTTTTTCTTCCAGAGGTTGAATATGGAAATATCCCATGTAGTAGGCCATAGGCCACTTGGGAACCATACACGATAAAGTTCTGAAGATGCAAGATCAGTGATGACACCGGCTAAGGTGGCCAGGAGAGAGAATGGAATAAATGTGCAAAGGGAGGCCAGGAAGCATAAGGCAGCAGGAGGCAGACAGTGTGACTTGATACTGGACAGGCTCGGTTCTTTCCCTTTTTGGGGCTTAACTGTTCTTTTTTGCGGGGGTTAACTGTTCTTTAATTTTAAAAAAGTCACAGAGAAAATGAATGATTTCCTAGGTACAAAGTTATTGATCTCTCTTAATTAAAACAGCAAATTTTCTCACAAATACACTTTTGCTCTTCATACAGCAGTAGTTCCTAAGTACTTGTTATGGTTTATGTCTATGTGTCCCCCCAAAGCCTCATGAGGCCATGGGGCAGGCTTTTAGAGTTTGAGTATGGGTTTGAGAGCTACATCCGCCCTGGGGTGGATAGTTTACATATCTAAGGGAGAGGAAGAGGCTGCTTGAGGCCATTCCTCCCCCATTCTGCCCTGGAGTGTGCTTGTTGCTTTTGCTGTGTTCTGCCGCCATGAGCTGTAGCCCTCTGCCATGTGCCAGTCTGCCTTGTAATCTGCCAAGTATGGACTGAAACCTCCACAAACTGTAAGCGAAATAAACCTTTCCTTCCTTCATTTTGGGCATCAGGTATTTTGTCCCAGCAACGAGAGAAAAGTAACCAAGACAGTACTCATTCCCTCTTCTCCTAGTTCATCTGCAATTTCAACAGCATGGATAGAGGGCTTTGTCTTAGGCATTTGTCACTAAGACACAACATTCAGTAACCACAAATGAAAGGAAGAGAGGTTTTCTCCGGCCCACAGCCCACAGTTGGCCGATTCCAAGGCATGGCAGAGGAGCATAGCAGGGAAAAAGCTCCTTATGCCATGGAAGCCGAGAAGCAGAGAGAGAAAGGAGGGCGGGGAAGGAGATTTACTCTTCCGGGTCATGACCCCCATGACCCACTCTTCTGGCCGGACCCCACCTCCCACCAGCACACTCGGCTGCTGACCCCATTAGTGGAGGAATCCGCTGTGAGGACAGCACCCTCACAATCCAAGCATCTTCCAACAGCACAGCCTCCGAGTGCACGAGGCTTTGGGGGAACATTCCAGATCTCAGCCATCAGAGGCTTCTGCTTAAAGTATATCAGACACTTTGCTTCTACACGTTTGCACTAAAGATTTAGCTATCTGAGAAAAATATACCCTAAAGATTCCTCCTTGTATTGGTTAGGGTTCTCTAGAGGAAAAGAAGGAACAGAACAGAATAGAAGAGAACAGAACAGAACAGAATCAAGCAATACATATGCAGTTGTGTAAGGGGCTTTCTTAGGGAGGCTTACAGGATCAGAGACAGGAGAATCCACATGGCCATTTGCTTCCTGGAGAACCATAGGATCTATCAGCTGCTCTGTCAAAGAAGCTGGAAACTGCAGAGCAGGAGAGATCGAGGACGCAGCACTGTGGCCCCGGGACACACCCCAAACTGCGAATACAAGATTATTTCTTGCCAGGTGTGGTGGTGCACACCTATCACCCCAGCACTCCAGGGACTGAGACAGGAGGATCATGACTTTGCGGCCAGCCTGTGCTATATAATGAAATCCTGTTTTTAAAAATAAAAATAAACTCAAGGAAAAAAGAAGGATGCAACTCCAGTCCAAGGTTGGAGGCTTGGAAACTCCCTAGGAAGTAATCTGTATGAGTCTGATGTCCACAGACCGTAGCATACCAAGGCGCACCCACTCAAGCCAAAGACGGCTTTTCAAGTGCAGGCTGGCTTCCTCCTCCTTCCTTTTCGCCCATGTGGCAAGCCTACTGGATGGTGCCACCCACAGTCACAATGGGTCTTCCTCCCTCGGGCGGCTGGCCCATGTGCCAGTCAGCTCTAGAAACACCCCGCAGACACACCTAGAAGTGTGCTTTACTACTCCGCCAGGCATTTCTCAGTCCAATCAAGTTGACACGGCACAAGTAGCCGTCACATTCATGTTTTCCTCAGAAAGGCCCAGTAGGACTCTGCACTGGCGCTGGTTTAGAGTTAATGTTCAAGTTAACTCTCCCATTTTCCCCATCTGACCTACCAAAGCTGCCACCCCCGCTGTTACCTGCAAGGAAAAGCACAGAGGTCATCTTCACATGAATTCTGCCCCTTCCATTGTCTTACCCTCACCACAATACCAATTCTCTCACTGGCCCGGCTCCTGTTTATAGAACAGACCATTCCAGACCAAGAGGCCCTCAGCTCCAGGGGAACGGGAACTTTAGGAAAACAGGAAACAGACCAGTGGGCACAGCCTACAATGACGGATGCCAGAACAGTCTCCAGCTCCCCGCTTCTCTGCTACCGCTTGTAACCCTCTCACTCTGCAGGACAGTTGCTGTTCTGGCCCTTCAGAGCCAGGTGCCCTCTAAATAAAATCCGTCCTTGCTGCCAGTTCTTGCTGGGCTGTTGTGCTACCAACTCCCTCCTAGGGACTTCGGCCAGAGAGCTACACATCATTCTAGTGACGCCTCTAAATGTTTTTAACTTAAAATTGCAGAAGCTAACTTCCACCCTGGCCAGGCATGGTGGCACACGCCTGTAATCACCTCAATCACCAAGAGTTCGAGGCCAACCTAATTACACAGCAAGCTCAAGTCCAACCTGAACTACATAGCGAAACTGTGTCTCAAAAAAAAAAAAAGAAAACTGCTGTGGCTAAATCTTAACCACCAACTTACTTCACTTAGTTTCCTTACTTTCCGCTGCATTCCTCTCACCAAAAAAATAGAAATATTTCTTAATCTTATGAATTCAATTTGTAATTAAGTTTAGTGGGCATTTTTTCCTAGTCTAAACTGACTTAGCAGGGCTGGGGATTTAGCTCAGCAGCAAAGCACCTGCCTGGCAAGCGCAAGGTCGTGAGTTCAGTTCCTGGTACCGGAGAAAAACCAAAAAAATAAAATAAAATAAAATAAAATAAACTGACTTAGCTATAAATCAAAGGGATTTTGGTGCTAGGTGCACATTTACTTATTCAACAAATATTTCCACTAAATATTAGGTGTCAGGCCCTCTGCTGGGCAGAAAAATAAGAAGTATGATTTAAATATCTCATATTTGAAGGGACATACTTTCAAATTAAATTAAATGATATGCATGCTATAATAAATGGATGAAAGAATGAGGGTCTAAGGAATAGAGAAAAAGATATGAACCTTCAGAATTGAGTAAATGTCACAAAGATGTAAGGACTGTAACCCTATGTCTGCTGTTACAAAATGAAAAAATTCATCTGATACCTGATTTGTGTGTAAATGACGTGTGACTGAATTTAAGTAGATATGAGTTCCAAGCTCCTAAGCACCACCCATCCCATAAAACAGCAGCTATTTTACATAGGGAAGAGGTGAGATTTGGTTTCCCGAAAGGAAAGTGGTAATACCAACAATTCCGGAAGGTCTTCCCTGGTCTGAGGGCACAGCTTAGCAGTGGAGCACCCCTCAAGCGTATAGGAGGCTCTGGGTTCAAAGCCCAGCACCACACAAAAATAAACAGATGCTGCCATGGCCAGGACCAGGGAGCCGAGTGTGGGTGGGGCCTGAGCCCCCACTGTGCCCCGTGCACAGCCAGATGTCCTTGGTGCTCACAAGCCTTCGGGATGATGGGTGAGGAAGGATCGCACTCGCTGGTCCAGTGGGACAAATTAGTTGAGAACTTTCCCATGAACCAGTGCTGCAGGAGGCGCTGTCGGGGCCACGCTATTTTTTTTCCTGCCCGGTAGGTGTGTGTGAAAATGGACAACGAGGCAACGCACACAAAGAGCACGGAGTGTTCTCTGAGCGGACAAGACAATAAACAAGCTCCAGCCCCTCCGCAGGACAGGGGCCATCTGGGCAGGAGGCGGCCGTCCTGTTCCTGAGCTAAACTTCTTCCTCGCTCGCCCAACTGGAGGGGCTCCTCGCGCTCTAGGATCGCGCTTCCCAACACAACAGCACAATGGGTTATTTACAGTCTGTTTTCAAGTTGTTGGAACTGTGCATCAGAAAAAAAAAAAAAAAAGGTCTGTTTTCAAAAAGGCAAATTGAGGAGATGAAGAAAAGGGAGAGGCGAAGTTGGGAAAGTCTCCTTTGCTAGAGTGCTACGCTGCACCTGAAGCATCTGAAATTCACACTTCCAGCCTCACCTTTGGAGAGGCCCTGCAGCCCCACGTGGGAAACCCCCATTTTTCCTGGGGGAGAGGGGTGGGAAGAGGACAATTAACATGGTGATACGAAATTTGAGTAGAAAATAAACTGCACTGAATCTCACATATGGTGTCCTAAAAATGTCCAAGATGATGTCATCCAAAGGGAGGAGGGAGGAAGGGGAGCTGCAATTAGACGGATGAAGAAGAGGCAGTTGAGAAAACAGATTAATGATGCCTTTGACACAATCAGCCGGAGAGGAACACTGGTTTCCATGACAACCAAGCCACTTAACCTAAATTAACAGAGCTGTTAAAAAAGGAAATCTTAAAAGATGGGGAAGGGAAAGCCAGAAGATCCTCTTTGGGGAAATTAAGCGGCCGGTCCCATCAGCGCCTGTGAGAGGTGTGTGTATTAACCACATATCCGCAGGGTGTGTATTCACTTACATTCTCCGGTTCCCAGTAATTAGTTTTCAGAAGCAGTCTAAAGAAGCTGAGAAACTGCCACTAATTAGCGCAGTTTCTGGTAGAACAGCCTTATTATCCTAATGCAGCCTGAGCTAGACAGCAAGGACGAGGAGTAGATAAAAGACCACTTCTCGATTTTCTCAAACTTTATGCTGACATTCACACACACCGTAATTCCCAGCATTTCCCCAGAACGGCCTGCGCAGAATTAGGCGGGTCAGGCTAGATCTTGGAATTTTGTTTGTAGCACAGAAAAACTCACAACCCATTCATGATGAGACAATGTCAAAATCAAATAACAAAATGTGCATTTGCACATAATCTAATGTCCCCTGTGCAATGAAAAGAATTGCACTTTCATGAGGTGCTCCCACGTCAGGGCAGAGCTATCTTCATGTTTTCCTGGGTCCAAAGTAACTGCCTGAAACAAAGCGGGCTGTAGGGAGGCAGGTTGGACAAAGACGAGCGGTAGGAAGGGTCGCAGAGCAGTGAATCGTTACCAGCTTCTAACGGGTTCCCCACTGCAGCCTTCCTCCCTTGCTTTCTGCTGACCCCAAGCATCATGGTAAGAAATGAGCACCTTTGTGGACTGCCTTTGTGTTGTTATAATAGTCTACTATCAACAGGAATAGGAAAAAATAGGAACCCTATAGTCAGTGTATCACCAGAGTAGTCAGTGTATCACCAAGATTTTTTTGGTTTGGTTTGATTTGGTTTTGCTTTTTTTTTTTTTTTTCTTTTTGTACTGGGGATTAACCCAGGGCCTTTGCAGTGAGCTACATCCCTACCAGCCCATTTCTCAGTTTTTATTTTGTCTTTTGGAGAAGAGGTTTCACTATGCAGTTCAGGCTGGCCTTGAACTCTCTTTGTAGCCTAAGCTGGTCTCAAACTCACAATGATCCTCCTGCCTCAGCTTCCCAAGTGCTAAGATTACAGGCGAATGTCACCAGTTTTTAATTTGAGATAAAATAATAACAGGCTCAGTTTTTATTTTGAGAAAAAGTCTCAGTCACACAGGCTGTGCTCAAATTTGCAATCCAGTACATACCACTCCTGACAAGTTTTAGCATTTCTTATAGGAAATGTATCCTACTAGTTTTATGAGAAGAAATATAGGTAGTATATAATAATGTAAAATTAAAGAATGTTGAATCCATATATTAAATTTTGTGAAAAATTAATTATACATGATTTTAAAACTAAAACAAATTTCTTTTATATGTTTATTTTTTATTTTATGGAAAATAAAGTAAAACAAAGTTTCATAACAAAATAACAGGAGAATAACAATAGTGAATACATTGCATATAGTTATCTTCAAAGTAGTTACTCAGAGTACAAGATCAGGGCATAAAAAATTCTCCACTGGATGTTAGCACAAACCTTTCTTTTCTATGAACTGAGAGAAACATAGCGTAACTATCTTTTTTTTTTCTTCTTCCTTCTTTCCTTTCCCCTTTCCCCCACCTAGTTCCTCTTTCTTTTTGAAAAATGTCTTCCCATTTCGCGGTATCTATTGCACATTTTGGACCTTAATTCCTCTAAAACAAATTCCTATCAAGATAAAGTTTAGTAATTAAATCAAAAGGTAAGAAACGCACTTGGAATTTTTTAATGAAGCACACAGTGTCTACAGCAAGGTATGGCCTACTTAACAACTGTCATAAATTTTTACTCATGTCTTGCTTTTCAATAATGGTGGTGGTGGGAATATTGCCTTATATTTAAAATAGAAGACCTGTTAGCCTAGTAGGACCACTTAATAGTTTTATCTTTCATTCTTTATGCATTGTTGATTTATAATTCTTCTTCATGAAATGCCTATGTGCACATTATTCTGCCAGTCTCAGAATTCTTCCTTTATTAGGGTTTTAAAACATTAAAATTATGAACTTTATATCTGACATGAAAAACGTCACCCCAGATTTTTAATTTTGACATGTTTTGGTTTTTGTTTGTTTGTTTTTTGTTTTTTGGGTTTTTTGTTTTTTGTTTTTTGTTTTTCTGGTACTGGGGATCAAACTCACAACCTTGCACTTGCTAGGCAAGCGTTATACCGCTGAGCTAAATCCCCAGCCCTTTGACATGTTCTGACATATAAAAATATTCCATCTTTTGTAGTGAAACCTGTCATTTTCCTGAGTGTCCACCTTTTACTTTTATATGTGAAAACATCAAAAACATTATACAGCACGTATACGCACGTGTATCGCAATAATGATTTAGTTCACTTAGGATTACTTTGATGGATGCTCTAACTTGGTATTGCTATCCACATCATCAACTTCTCCAGGGTATCTTCCTTGAAATACAGAGCCCTGTGGTTGAGATACGGTTTGAGCGTGTCCCCAAAGGCCAGGCGCTGGAAGGTTGGTCAGCAGGTGGTGCATCTTTAAGAGAGGATTCAATCACAGAGGCTCCACCGCTGGAAGGGAGTGAGGCGCAGCTGGCTTTCCAGCAGAGCAAGTGCGTGTGAACTGACTTGGCCCTGGTAGGCTCCCGCTTGCTCCTCACATGCGCCCTTTCTCACGCAGCCCCTTGCATTGTGCGATGCAGCCAGGGCAGGGGAACCTGACCATCCATGTGGTTTGGACTCTTCAGCTACCACATCCTGAGTCCAAAAAAATCTTATTTACTCATTATTTAATAAACTCAAAATTTGA